AAAATGCGCTAAATTAAAACTGAATGAATATGTGAAATTTAGCATAGAACACATTATCTAAATTTAAAACACACTGAATATGCATGAAATGGTAAATCAACGAAATTTAAACCCAGTGAAAATTAGTCATTTTACAGTATATTGGAGTTGTGATGTGGTTAATTTATGGCTGAAATGGTTAAATCTTAAATCTATGCTGAACCAATTATTCATCTTGTAGATGACGACTTTTAACCAGACGGAACTGGTGCCAGAATTTGTAGGTTCCACTAGCTTGGATTCAGTGGGTTATATTTACGTACCGACGGGATGTGTAAGCACGCCAGGTAAAAATATCATCAAAGTGAATCTAGTATGTATATTGTTTGTTTGAGTAGTTATTCTTTTGCTCTCAATTCGATTGGAATATAAGCCCACAATGACAATGAACAATTCTATTCAATGTTACATAGCTGACAAACAGGCACAACATTTAATCGTCACAGAATTATGTCCCATCACAGACTTCATAGGAGAGAGAGGTTTTGATGGATAATTTTGTGGCTGTGGGAATTCGGTTCGAATAAATCGCCAAGTTTAATAAATCTCCACAGAACATACAGCAGACTCAAGTGATCGAGTTCAAAAGAAAGTCGTAATGACTTTTTTATTCATGGGTAGAACGCTGAACATTTCAACCAGTAATTACATCAGTAGTACAAACATCAGTATTAAAACTGTGAGTGCCCTTGATGAGGGGCAAAGAGTGAATAACTTGAGAAACTATGAACTAAATTCAAATGTGGACTCCATTGATGACCGCCATATTCATCGAAACTAGGAATCATGGGTAACACTTGCATAATAATTTGCATGTTTGAGGTCGATTCCATTGCTCATAGGGGGTAATTCTTAATATAAAAAAACAACATGTAAACAACCTAACAGTGAAATAATGGAGTAATTTCCTCAGTTAATATGGAAATATTAATAAACTAGAATAATCTAAACTGTTTATAAAGATAACACTAGATAAATAAATCTATCTAAATGTAGAAATGTATTGGTACATATTCGTGTGCATTTAACTAACTAACAAACACACATGTTGACCTGTGCCCCGACAAATTTTGACTAGTTCGATTATAGGCTCGTACGAGCGCAATCATTATAATACATATTTGTAGGTTTATTTCGCAGCAACATTTTTTTTTTAGATTTATTATACTCCAAGAAACGATATACTTGTACATGCTCATTCTATGTCAAACATTTTGTCGCAAAAACTGTTGTGTATTTTTAGTGTTTTGCAAACTATTAACAACGTGAATACCATTTAAAAAAAATTGTGGCCCCTTTTTTCATTTGTGGAAATGATAATAACATATAATAGATACTTATCTTCTCAATACGCGCAATATGCTCAATGTTCAGCATATTACTAGTAATGCCATTGTGTCGACCCGAGACAAAAGTAACTGTCAATATGCGTTGTAAACTTTGATATAATAAACGAAGAAATTGGATTGGAAAAATTACATTTTCGTTAGCCAATGATCATATATTCGGCTGTCAGCTCATCATTATACCTTGGCAAAATCCCTACAATTTACTGTAGACGAAACGGCGTGTGTTTTTATCGCTTATAAAGGGCGGTGGTCGTCGCGCAGCGCATGTTCGAAATTGTGTATGAGTCCCATCTCGAACCATCGCCCTTTAAACCTACCCAATTAAAAGAGTTATTTATTATCATGACGTATTCATCTATTTTGCGTAACTCAATTTTTTGACACGAATTTGCAATTAACACATAATTTCCATAAATCGCTCATTCTGTGACGTCAAAGTGACCTGATATTGATAAAGGTAATGTCGTTCAAATCGACCACTGTGTTTAGTTGTGTAGTCATTCTTCTTCTAGATATATGAAAATTCTCACCCATTGACGACATAAATAGGCTTCGTTACTAGAGGGCGCTATTTATAGGAAAGTTGTTTTATGGACTTTTATGTCAAAGCTTACCAGTCACGTACTTTTCACAACCGTCACAATACTCATTGTCACCATAGTAACCAAATCATAAACATTCACTCTATAATTGAAAAATTATTTCAGTTACCGCAATGTAGGCACCAAATTTAGAAAATCATGCGATATATCTGAAACCATCATGGCTACCAATATAAACCGGAGTGTGTCTGATTTAGTTTGTATATTCGCTTACAGGATGTAAATTGCACATTGTTTTTCACGGATGCTTGCAGGGAAGGTATTTCAAAATTCAAATTTAAAATTCAAGCAGATTTGTCTTATTTAAAATAATTGAATATTCAACTATTCAACGAAACAAGTATGTTTCGCGTTATACACGCATAAATTATATCAGATTAAATTGCATTTATACATGAATAATACCTTAATAGTTTTAAAAAAAAACATTATAGGAACGTACTTGGTGAGGAATATGCCTTAAACACGGGATACAACGAAGTTGGTGAAGAGAATGATATTATAATTGTATATCCTCAAGTCACTTCAAGTTTAGGCAACCCTATGGGATGTTGGGATTGGTAAGATAGAAAAAAAAGTTCATTGTTATTTGTTAGATTCGAACAAAATGGCAACATGACGTCACCATAAGCAATATTTTTTAATTGAAATATTATTGAATCATATATCGAATATTATTAGATCACAATTTTTTTTTTTATTTCTTCCTCTATTCAACAATATTTATGTCCTATTACAGGTGGGGTTATACCGACAGTAATTATGGTAAGTATTGGGTATAGCCATGAAAGTCAATTCAGAGTATTCCGTGAAATAAAATTGTCCTTACATTGAAACCAATATAATTGAAGGACAAACCTATTATCATTTATGTGACTTTCGAAAATTGTGAGTTATGTAGTACATCACAATCTCAAAATGTGCGACTAACAATTGTGAAATAATTTTGCTTTTCAGATTTGAAATCTGGCGTCCAATTGGAATTTATAAAGAATATTATTGACCGAGTTACTTCTTAATTAGATACGATGAAATATTCAGTTTTTGTGGAGGTCACTTATTTTCGTTATTATACTATGATAAATACTTCGCAACCGAATTATGCTTCATATGTATATATATATATATATATAATACTATTAATGATTCACGTGGACAAATTATATATAGTTACTAGGAAGCAACAAGTACACGAACGTCTCAGTATTGTAAATCTGCAATGGTGAACAATTGTCTGAAATCGGATTTTTGGTAAGATAATAAATTTCAAATTGTAAATGTACACTTAATTCAGTATGTCATATACATTATGCTAAATTGAGCAAAGTATGTGAATCATTACTCTGTGTGACTACAGTTGGGAATGGCTTTCTGATTTCATCTCATACACCGGCACTGGGTGTTTGGCACACAGTACACCTTGATACACACAGAGGACTAACGTCATGGCAAATAATATTCTTGTTTGCTAGAGAGTGGGGGGTGGGGTCGTCGTGTAGTGCATGTTCAAATTCTGTTATAAGAACAGCGCATTTTACTGATATTACGTGATACCATTATCAAACACGACACACTACGACGCCCATCGCCATATAGTATATGTTGACCTGTTGTGTTTGATTTCTTGTGAATTTATTGGACCATGTCTAACATTGGATCTAACATTGCATCGATTATCTTATATATATCGTGTGTATGTCTTAGAATATTTTTCTTAGCATGACATCACACACTAATGTCCATGACAGGGTGATACAAGGCTACCAATGACACGGCATAACATATGTCATTAATTATGTGAATATTTAATATATGTTGGTTAAAACACCTGATACGAGAGCTCTACTAGGAATTACACTCTGAATTATTGAAGTGAGGACTATATATTTTTAAAAAGCCAGTGTGTAAGATCTTTTATCTGAATTAATTTCTCATCCCAAACAGTCTCCAAATATGCATTTTGAGGGAATACCTAATACTAATTTTTATTGAAACACTCGTTCAAATGTTTAGTCAACCTGGTCATCTGTCGTTATTAGCGATGATTAGCTCAGTCAGAGTACACGTTTTAAAACAGTCACATGATCTACGTAAAAACCACGGGGCTTTGTGTCATATAAAAACAGTGATACTTGACTTGATATTCATTGTGTCAAAAGGTCACGTGATATCATTAATTATGCACATATATATTTCCCAAAGATTTATTATTACACACAGTTAAAGTAAGTACTTAAATGATATTCATAAAGTTGTTCACACCGATGAAGAGAGTTGCATAAACTATTACCTGATTACTTCATCAATTATATAGTGTAGATATTAATGTTGCACTACTTAACAGTGATTAAAATATGTTATCACTTGTTTTTACAAACAAACTAAAAAAATACTACCAAATGTTATACATCATTATCAAACCACGTATGTGATAGGACTTATCTGTAAAAAATATGGAGTTGCCCACTATCCTGCTCGTCATTTACTCCCGGACAGTTCTCATTTTAGACTTCCGCAAAACATTAAATTCACCGTAAGATCAACGAATTCAGAATTATGTATACATCACATACATATATCTTGGAAACGTAAAAGAAAGAAAATAGAATCACTTACCCTACTGAACCAATTAAATCACTTATTAATAACTCTGTTAAACATGACAAAGAAACACACTGAACTCTGCGTTTAAATGAGCTCAATGTGTACATTAGCAACCAATATTCGTTACAGATAGATTACACACAAATTCACACCATGTGTTCTCTACAAGTGCTATAGTTAAAGTACATTCTGTGTCATCCCTAAGCATAATTAGCTACGTTTATTTGAGGAGAACGTGCAATCTGAAAATGTTTTTCTTAAACTAATTAACGTTTGACAAAGACAGCAACACCATTTTAAAACACGAACGTAAAGATATTTAAAATAAGTTGCAGTGTTCAGACTAAACAGCTAAGACATGGATATATTATTCATAAAAAGTAATGTTGACTTATTTATTATCAGTCGAGAACTATTGATAAAATAATTGTCTCGAAAACAGACGGGTATGTTGACTTATTAAAAAGAAAAAGACTTAACCCGACTGCGTTTCAGTCATTATATCGCCTAATCCATTCCTTGCCCTGGTATCACGCGCCTTTTAAGTTTTCGTTGAATTATTGAATTCTATTTATAGAAAGTCATAAAATTTCAAAAGGAACATCTCATCTCACCAAATTAGACAGAACTAAAGAAATCACATTTTAACAGATAATCAGTTTAACAATAATCAAACAAGTGAGTGTAATTGTATTTTTGGGTTTATTAAATCGGTATTCATGCGTTCAATGTCGTTTATCACTGCGACTGTCAAGTTCATTACACTTCGCTTTTAAATGCTGTTAACTATTGGTCGTTGACCGGTAATTTCATGTACTTGAGTAGGGATGCTTGCGGGGCTGGAGCGGATTGGTCGAGACGTAGTTATCTAAACGTAGATACTTGTTTTACTGGCACTTCATATCAACAACGTTCTGAGATTGCGTCATTCATGTTTCTATTGCGCATGCGCCCAATTGTACTCCATCATATTTCTAAAATCGTATTCATTTTGTCGGATTTCGCAATGTAGCCACACCTTATCTAACGGACAATCTCATAAAGCAATGCAAATTTGCCAAATGATTTTAAATATGATATTTTTTCTTCCTAGGGCAAAATAAATCATGCATTTTTAACACTGCACAAAATATTATGAAGAGCGAGCAATATAACATTTACATAATCATGCAGCCTATATAGTTATGCAACATTCTGACATTGTTTGCCGTCTGTTCAAAACCATGTGTTTTAACTGCAGAGTAAACTGTAATTCAATGTTAAAATTATAAGTAATATTCAGTCAATCAGCGCAAATTAATTGTCTTCAGTGGCACATCAGTGCGCAGCGAATTTATTTTTCGTACAAAGTAAAAAAGGACACATTAAAAAAATGAATTTTACTAAAAACATTATTACTAAATCTGCTTTCATATAAGAAACTTCAATCTGTGTACCTATAAAGATGTTACAATATTGACTTCGCGTAGACGACCTTTTTGTCGATGTTTGCAAGTTACGATTCACTCATAGTAGATTGTGGCAAATTTCATAGTAATGCAGTGATGGCGACATATGCAAATTTGTCTAGCAACGCGGACGCTCGTATTCGTATCGACAAATTAATATGTACAAATTACAATATATTTTGTGAGAATTCTTTTTCATTCTGCAAGACTGCATAACATCATTTCTGTTAATTCGAGAAACGTTTTCAATAGAAAATTAAAAAAAAGCAAATTACGTTTGTAGAGTAAATAAATTATCACTGCCTTGGCCGGACCTAGGGCTTCATATGTCAATTAGTTGGACCAGAAACAAATCACCTTCATTCACAAGGATACCGCGAAGTATCCACTCAAATAGTAATAACTTCGAAATATTAGTAGATAAATTGCATACTCTCTCCTCCCATACTTTATTTTGCTCATGTAAAGGACTACAAATTTGAAGAAACAATTAAATCCGAAAACTTAAGTTAAACTAAGTTTGGTCTCATAAAAAACGGATAAAAGACACTCAATATGCGATGTTATACAGGCTTATTAAATGCACAATGGTCCGTAGCACCAAATCAAACCTGAGGGTTTTCATAATGAGTCTCCTACGTCATACAGTAATGAACAGGAAATTGCATCTTATTATCTAGTCTTTATCTTCTACCCTTACGAGAATATCCAATAAATGTAGCGTTTCCGTGGAAACCGTATTGGATCATAAACTGACCATGTACACTCTATACATTTCAAAAAGTATGAATTGGCAAGGGCATGTGCTTATAGTTGTGGGTGAGGTAATATGTTAGTTTCATGACACCCGCATGCATAACGACTTACCTTTTCTCCGGATAACCGTTCAAGGCAGACACGGGATAATCTATATGAATGCATAGAGAATTAAATTATATGTTTGACCAAGTGATAAACCAACGCTAATCCTCACGTGTTTCAAAGTTGAAAAAGAGTTATCAACGGTGCGGTACTGAAAGGAATTCAGGTTATGTTACGAACCAACTAGTCCCATGTTCGTAGATCGTTTACTCTCACACAAAGTACATACAATATGTCACACAGGTAGTCGATAGGATTAAATCTATCGCCCGCCATGTATTAACACCACTCCACCATGATGCAACATATGCATTTAACAAACAACCAATCGCAAAAGCTAATACAATTTGAATTAATTATACGTACCAATAATTCAAAGCACATGCGCCATATTGTCACATCAATTATGTTATGAGCAAGTGCAAGAACGACGTTTTACGGCAAATTATTCTATAATGTGAAAACCCAACAAACTGTTAAATGTGTAGCTTATTCTCAGGTTTGTATTGTATTGTAAATACAACAATCGCGATAACGTACACCATGTGTAACTCAAAAATACACATGTTTGTCCGACCATACCTGACACATGTGCGCAGCATTATTGAACACTGGACAGTGACTATATTTCATATACTATGAAAAAAACATATTTATAATTTGGATTTATTATCATTCTCTCTCGTTTATCAGTAGTTTTTCCAAGTTCTATGAATTTACATGGCCACATCGCAGTGAAGTATTCACCCTCAACATATATTTGCTTATGTCACTTTCACCCACCCGACAAATTATTGATATTTCTTTCTGTTTTTCATATGACAATGAAGCTGACGATAAATTAGGATTACGCATGAAAATTATATGAACACAAATATCATTATTGAAATCTTTTTAATCTAGAATTATAATTTTTAGCTTGGTTATAACGAATAACTGACATTTACAATCAAGTGACACGTGTGAGGTTCGTGTTAACGGCATGTCGATGACACCAATTTACGTCATATCCGGCTTGATATAACCATATTTGGTATGGGAATCGATTTCGAGAAAACGTCACTGAATGAATATAACGAGTAAGTAAATCTGTACCAATGCCCGCAAATCATAGCCCAGTGTGACCGCCTTTACGCAAGTACGAAATCTCCCTAATTTTGGCTGCTTTTGTCGATAAATAGTATCCGTTGAATATATCTGTGGCTCATTACACTTCAAATATTTCCTGTCCGCCAGTGTTATGAACTTTCTATGCAACTGTTATAAATAATAGACTGGATATATATTATTTGAATATACATCTATCATGCACTGTGCATATGATATTAGGTATTGCATTGATGAAAACAAATGAGGAAAACAAGTCGATCAATTGGACGATGAAAGTATTCGACATAACGTAATTCGCGCTACATTATCCACTTACGATAAATTCGATGATTTTTAATATCATTTCACCGTTTTGGGGGTTCACAGTAACTTCATTTGAAAAAACGAACAAGAAATCCATGGAAATACTCGTTGAGAACAAGGACAATTTGGAGATTAATTTCCGGATCATTATGTGGCAAACATGTTATTATTAAGGTTGTTAGTAGACATTGGCAACCCGTATACATATAATGGGGATCCGTAATTGTTATAAGTTTCTATTTTGGTTCTCATTCACTAGTATATAAGGGAGACGTCTCAACTCTTCAGACACTGTGGGGGAGAATATTGCTGGTGGCTCATACGAACTATAGTAAAACATATCATTTCCGAAAGCTGCAGTTTATCCTACAACGATGCAGAAACTTGGGGTTCTGCAAACAGTCTTAGCTGCTGTCTTCATACTTGCAGGGATAGCTGTAATAGCCAATGCTGAAGCCGAGTCTGCACGTTATGCTTCTCTTCAGCGTCAATTCCGTGCACTTAATCGTAAACTTGAAGTGGTGCAAGCTCTCCGACGGCGTTCTGATAATAGTGTGTCCCCGGCTAGAAGGCAACAACGGGAAAGTGTGAAAGAGTATAGGATTGATGTGAGGCGAGATAGTCTGAATCGATTCGATGTGTCAAGACGATTGTCGAATCAAATCCGAGTTACTCCGATAAAATATGATGCTGTACGACAATCAGCCCAGGTATTGACTAGCAGAAGGAATTCAGGACACATGCACGACAGGATAAGACGTGATTCTTTGCATCGACGAGTGGTTTCAGGTACGCGCGAGTTTACGGATTGGCGCTCAACTGGATTGATGCAACGAAATATACCTGTGAAGACACGTAGAATAATACAAAGCTCAGTTCCAGTTATGAGAACAGAAGTCCAGAAAATGAGACAATCTTCTCCGATGCAGCAACGATCAATGGAAAGGAGAGTGGTTCCATTCAGACATGATAACAGTGAGACAAGAGTAATTCGTACAGGTAGAAGAAACACGATTTCAACACGATCAGACACAGAACGGCGAATTAGAACAGATAATACAGAAAGACGTTTTAGTGGAATGTCTAACATGCGTAGAGGCCCGGCAGGACTGACCAAACGAGCATCAATGAAACACAGAATTAGCAGTGACGCAAGGATT